ATTGAACCGGGGAATTCTTGGGATTTTGATGCCAGCAATCTTGTCTTTGGAGAGGACAGTAAGGGTGCAGCATTAAGGATTGGGGATAAATTGTTTTGGGTATTTAATTAGGGTTTTTTAGTGAGCGAGAGTGACACTAGGGATTGGAAACAATTTTGCAATTTGTAAAAGAATCCAAGTGTTGGAGGACATTGACATAGGTGGTAAAGCTTTATTCCTTTTGATGGCATAATAGAATACCAAAAGCAATTTATGTCTATTTCCTACGGAATCCTAAGTGCCCCCAATCCCCAATAGAATGGTGGTAAGATTTGTAAAGCTTTAACGTCCTCCTGCCTTCTATGCAATATGACCCACCGAAAAAAAAAAAAAAAAAAAAAAAAAAGACAAAGAGGAGGAGAAAAAGGAGGAAGAAGATGAGCAAGATCTGGAGGAGGAACTCTGACGAAGATGGGTGGAGAGAGATGGACGGGAAAGATGGGTTGGATGGACTGGGAAGATTTAAGCAGCAACGAGCGAATCGAGAGACCCGCGACCGAGATGGTGGACGGGGGAAGAAGGGTGAGGGGATGGGTTTGTAAAGGGGTGGGTCCCTCTTCTTTAATAAAATATTTAAATAATTTTAGTTTTAGTTTTTGAATATTTAATTAATTTTTAATCCAAATGGACTTGGAAGTAGACCCGCATCAAGCCACGTTAGCATTTACAGAGAAATTAACAGAAAAACTGACGGAGGTCTGACATTGCAACAAATTTGTAAGATAAGGTATGACATTGTAATTTTTAAAACATGAGGTATGAAATTGTGGTTCAACCAATAGTTGAGGTAGTTTTGTGTAATTTACCCTATTATTTATCTTCTTCAACTATCGAAACCCCTTACATTGTTGAATAAAACCCTAACCAATGAAACTACTAACACGTTGATTGAGAAAAATTATTTTTGACAAATGGAACATGAAATCGATGTTTCGGAAGCTTCACATGAGGTAAGACTTCATATTTTCCATTGTTTTACTGATTTCGACAACATCAATAATTATTAATCCTGGTTTTGCTATGTTATTTAAGCTTCTATGTTCATATTCATCTTTTAAAGATCACATGGATTACATGAAGAATTAAACACCTAAAATTACCACCAAATATTAAAAACAGACGACATGGGTTTTAATGGTGGAATTGAAAACAAATCCACATATGCTTTAAATCCTAGGCAGCATCTTTTATCAAAATTTTAGTCGGCATTTTTTGTCCAAATTAGAAGCTTTATTGATTATTTGCATATGACTACGCCCCCTTACCAATTAAAGTATAAGGCTAATATTGATATTGAGTTGTATGATTGTTAGCAAATAATTGAGGTGTATGATTCTTAATAAATAAGCGAGGATTTGATACGAATTTTTGGTGTATTTAAACAGGATAGCACACAAGGCAATACCTCTACAGGGGACACTGAGGTTGCAACAACAAGCGTCGTCGATTACACAAACGCATTTAAAACTGACGAGGTAACTATTTTTAGTATATTATTAAACCCTTACAAATGGTCATACTTTGTTTCTTGTATTCTATACTTCAATTGGTTCTTCAATTATGGTTAGATTTCCAAAGACTTTAATCCATCAAGGATTCTGTAACAAGATTCATTACTGAATATGCATGTGTGAATTTCATGGAAACTTTGGCATTCTTTTATGCATCATAGTGCATTAGGTTCATAATAGGGAATAGCACATGGGTTGGAATCATAGCATGTCTACAAACATTTTGTTAGTGGCAAATGGCAATGATCTTGTATGGACACATGTGTTCAAAAGTAAAAATGATTTGCTTGATTGGACTCCCACACAAGGAAAAAAGAAGAATATGGTTATTGTCATCAAGAGGTCTAATGAAGAAGGAGTTGACCGAAGGAGGAAGAGAGCTAAAATAACATTTGCTTGTGAGAGACGTGGCAAGTACTGATCCATATGGAGGAAGTCTGATATTAATGACCAAAATTCTGATGCAAATAATAATAAGAAGAAAAAACCCAGGAATACTGGTACTGAAAAATGCGAATGTCCATTTATGTTGAAATAAGTCAACATTGGAGAAGGAGATGATTGGAAATTGGAGGTTGAGTGTGGGGTACAAAACCATACTTATTCACAGTATCTTGAAGGCATTCTTTTGTCGGACGATTAACTAAAGAGCAGAATGAACTTGTAGTTGACATGTCTACAAGTTTAGTGAGACCCAAAGTTATTTTGAACACCATAAAGAAAAAAGATTTACTTAATGTACAACAAGGACATTATACAACGCAAGACACTATTAGCGAACAAACGAAAGAGCAAGAAGATAAAAAATGCAACAGTTGTTAGGTAAGTTAGCTGAGTACAACTATATTGAGCATCATCGAAGTACTAGTGTTCATAATGTTGTTAGTGACTTGTTTTGGACTCACCCAATTAATGTTGATATCTTACATTGTTTCCCACATTTGCTTATCATGGATTGCACTGTACAAGACTAATAGGCATCGTTTTCCACAACTAGAGATTGTATGGAGTAACTTCAACTGATATTACATTTTTTTGTTGCATTTGCTTTCATTGACCATGAGAAGGAAGACAATTACACATCGGTATTGACAAGATCATGTGGAACAAGTTAAGCTATTACCAGGTCTAAATAATGTAGCCACCATCAAAACAATGTCTTAATTGTGACTGAGTTATGTTTTAGAAACTGAACTAAAATATATAGTGCCAGGAGAGAGTACATTTTTAAAAAGAAGGTTTTTTTTTAATGGTGATTTTCAACTAGGCAGTGGTTGCAGTGAATATAGCGTGGTCATGTCCTTCTGGGAGATCATGAACTGATTGTAGAATTAATGAGGGCAAAAGCCATGGCCACTGAAGTCCTACTCAATCTCATAATTCAAGACTTAGTATTTATGACTCTCATAATTCAAAAGCCATGGCCCTCGAACTAATTGCAAAGTGAGTCAATGGCATTCATAAGGTGCTTTCTTGCACTATTCTAAGATGCTTTCTTGCAGGTTGACTTGGTTCAACCAAAATATGCACAAGAAAATGGAAACAACATGGTAGCTTTGAAATCATTATTATTATTATTATTATTATTGAAAAATGTTCAAATGAACCTAAACATTTTTCAAATCATTCAATTTGAAATCATTCGGCAAACTAAACGTTTAGATGATTTGAAATCACTTGACAAGCTAAACGTTCAAATGTTTAGATTCAGTTCCTGAAAATTAAAAATGAGTGTTATAAGATTTGAAAAATGTGGAGTGTATAGGGTGTATATAGAAAATGTAAGGTGTATATTGAGAATGTGGGGTGTGAGGGTATTATGGAGAAGTATGTGTTAAGATAATTTTTAATTGAAAAAGCAAATATGAAGTGTATTAAGTAGGTAGAGTTTATTCAACAATTTATGGAGTGTTAATATAATAAGCTAAAATATTTTGTTTACGCTGGATATAAGACTTTATTTTCCAACATATAAAATCTCATCTCTACATTAATACACGTACGTGTGTCATATCTATGTAAAAGCAGCTCTAGCGAGAGCTGGAGCCCAATGGACCAGCGACTTTGATGACCCAAAAGCCCCAGCTTCTTGCTCCAACCCATGCGGACGATTGGGCAGGGGGGCCCAAGTGAGAGGCTTGGCTCGAATTGGTGGCCGAAGGGCCAGGTGATGCCACGCTGACATCAGCCACAATTTAATTCATTTCGTGTCAGGCGTGTGCATAACACGCGCTTGTGGGGGCACATCCTCGATAATTTTTCAAGCGCTGGGGCCAACAGTGCAGAAGGCAGAAAAGTTACCGTTGGTGGCCAAGTGGCACGTTCTTGTCCATTGGATTTCAACGGTTACTTTTTCTAGACCGTTGGATTTCCAACGGTAAAAAAAAATTTGAAACCTTCCGCAATATCAGCTGTTGGATTTGAGATCAACGATCCACATTATTCACCTTTAAAAATTCTGAAATGTTATCGTTGTGCCATATGGCACAATCTGGAGGGTTGGATTTCAAATTTTTTTTAATCCAACGGCAGAAATTAATTAAGTTAATAAAAAAATGTTAACAATTAAAAAAAAATCAGAAAAAAAATTAAAAAAAAAATTGATTTTACTTTTCTATAAATACCTTCTCATGAAATTCTACATTACACCACAATTTCATATTTTCTCAAATACTTTCAACCACATTCCAATCTTTCTCTCAAAGTTTCAATCCAATTGGTTTCCAACAAAATGACTAATGATGCAGGTATGAATTGGATGCTTATTGAAGATGTTACGTTGTGTTCTAGCTAGGTTGAAGTTACTCATGATTCGATTACGGGTAATGAAATGCAGTTGCAAGAAATGTGGAGTCTTATTCATACCAATTATCTTGAGAAAATTGGTGGGAAAAGAACCAAAGAATCAATGTCCAGTCGTTGGAGAATACTCAGCCAATCGTTTAGTCTTTGGAGAGACGCCTTGGCACAAGCTAGCGCTAATCTTCGAAGTGGGGAAAATTCAGCGAATCAAGTAACAATATATTATTTGTTTGTTTGTACTATACTCAAATTTGCATTAGCTCTTCAATTATAATTATTTCTTCTCCCGCATTGTGTAGACACTTCAAGCACAAGCTTGGTTTAATGATAAAACCAAAAACAAAAACAAATCATTCACCCGGTGGGAATGTTGGAATATTGTCAAAGATTATCCTAAATTCAAAGTTATGCATGTCGGTCCAAAAGTTGTCCTAAATCATTCACCCGGTGGGAATGTCGTATGTTCATGAAACCGACACAGAAGAAGTGCCAAAAACGCCCCCTGAACAAGCATTAGGGTCGACCCGTTATCCAATTAGGCCTCAAGGTAAGAAGGCTTCAAAGAGAAAGGGGAGTGCTTCCAAGAATGATAATGCAAAATATATGGAAGAACTTGTTTGCCAAGGTGAATTGATTTTGGCGCGGGAAATGGCTAAATTTGAGGCTAATAAGGTTAGAGATGAGGCAAAAGATGCAGCTGCTGAGAGATTATTTCAAGGTAATGAAAGAGAAAGAGAGCTACTTAGGCAAGAAAGGAAAGAGCTTAAAGGAGAAAGAAGGGCTCAACAAGATCGCGACATTATGAAAGAGCTTGTAGAGGCGATGTCTCCGAAGTCTAAATATTTTTGGAATTTGGAGAAAGCGGACGTGGTGCGAATGAGGCTTGCAAGGGAAGCAAGAGCAAGAGGAGATGGTCCTAGCACCACAAGATGAGATGATCCTAGCACCACAAATTGGTTAGATGATGATTTTCCATTCACGAGGGACTAGGGAATTTGTTTTTAATCGAAGCCCATAATTTTCCAATCACTTTGGGTTGTAATTTCTTATTTATTGAATAAAGTACTTTATGTTGTTTCCAATTTATTGAAGTTATTACTTTATTTAAACTAAGAGTATATTTATTTAATTTGGTAATTTATTTAAACTAAGAGAAACTTTATTCAAAGGACATAAACACACCAAATAAAATTACATAAACATACCAAATAAAATTACAAACACACCAAATAAAATAAAAAAACTCACTAAATGAACTTAAAAAACACACCAAATAAAATTAAATAAACACACCAAATAAAAACAAACACACTAAATGAATTTAAGTTTCTTGAGCTTGTTTCAATTCCCACTAGTGCTCTATCAAGTCAATTTGCGAGGCATTGTACATATATGGGTCCTGAAGTGTAGTATATCGTTGAATGAGCCTTTCATTGTAACGTTCATCCCTTTGTAATGGCTCGTGTTGCACGGGTTCTTTGGTGGCGTCATGAGCACAATATATTTGTGTTCTGGAATTGTTCATCATGTCTGGCTCATATTCATCAGCGGCATAATAATTGTACTCATCTCCCACAATCATATTGTGAAGAATGATGCATGTCATCATGATGGATCGAAGCGACTCTATATCAAACATTATGGCAACACCCCTGACAATCGCCCAACAACCTTAGATGATACCAAAACAATGCTCCACATCCTTCCTACACCGCTCTTGATAGCTTGCAAAGTGTTTTTCCTTTGCACTTTGCAGACGTGGCATTATTTTGACAAACGATGACCACTTTGAGTAAATGCCATATGCTAGGTAGTATGGCCCATGGTACTTATGTCCGTTGACCCATTACGTGACTCTTGGTGCTTTTCCTTGTAGGACATCGTTGAACACTGGGGATTGGGTAAGGACATTGAGGTCATTTTGAGCTCCTAGAACACCGAAAAAAAGTGCCAAATTCATGTATCAAATGATGCCACCGCCTGCAAAACAATACTTTTTGCTCTTTTTCTGTCCCCATAAGCTCATTACCATGCATTTGGACAGTTTTTTCCAGGTCCAGTGCATACAGTCGATGCTTCCAATCATCCCAAGGAAACCTTACATCTCGCTCTTCTTCAGAAGCCTTTGCAAGTCCCTCTCAGTAGGTCTCCGGAGGTACTCTGTGGTATAGAGAAATTCGATTGTGGAGCAAAACCTCATCAGGGACTCAAGAATAGTTGATTTTTTCCATTCTCACTATCTCATCCACTTGGTCTGCAAATGCTCTATATGCAAGCACCCGCAAAGGCAGCAGTAATTTTTTGCTCAGGAAGGAGACCCATAACACCAAAAGCATCATTCTTTTGCACAAAGTAAGAATCATGGTTGCAAACAGCAATCATGATTTTGTTGAACAAATGTCGTTCCATTCTAAAACAACGTCTAAAGTACGTATCAGAGAATGCACTGTTACGAACAAAATAATCGTCCAAGAGATCCGTACCTCGTCATTGCCTGCTTCTATCAATGTTTGCGGAATGGCTTGGGCTTGGAGATCTGAGTCACAACTTGGATGACTCAATGGGAATGTGAGACTCTTTGGCTTCTTGCTTCGTCATCTCTCATTCTATGCTCTTCATCCTCTTCCTCTTCCATCTCGTTTTCGCCCCACCTGGAGATTGAACATTTCTTCCCCTTACTTAAACAATTATTTCTCTTGCTCATCGATTTCCCACAACTTCCTTGAAGAAGACATTGTAAGAAGGAAGCAGAAACTATGAATAATGGATTTTGATTTTGGTGTGTGATTTTTTAGGATGGATGGTGGGTTATATGGAGGAAAAAGAAAGGATTAGGTTGTAGATAATGCCACATGGCATGTCGTCATTCATTAAAAATTTGATCGAAATCTATCCTCAAAGATTGTGAACAGATTGTGACACGTGTTAGAAATCTATCCTTAACGATTTTGAAAAGGTAACAACACATGGCACGACGACATTGGATAAAATCTTATCGAAATCCATAACCAAAAATTGTCTTTTCGAATAATGAAACGTGGAGCAACAAAACGATTAAAAATCTTATCTGAAATTACAAATAAAATTATTTTGTATTATTTTATAAAATAAAAAATATTAACATTTTATTGCCCATTGCCATGGCTATTCAGTTTAGAAGTGGAGATGCAAAAGGCAGTTACTGTTCATTAAAGGTAATTACTGTTCACTAAGGGAATTCAATACTAAATTATTTTAGGGGACCTTATCAACGCTGGAATTGCTCTAATGCCACAAGCCAGACTATTATAGGAGTTAAGGGACAGGTTTTAAGCATCAAGGGAAAGCAAACATGCAACCTCATCATCTTAGAATCTCTCAGCCTCTGTTCTCTCTAAACACACACAGTATAATAAGGTGGCACTTTTGCAAAGACAACTCAATCGCCACCAACACTCAAACCCATAAAAGTAAATATTGACATAGAAAAAACCTAAACCTAATTCATGGAAGAGAGTAGAAAAAAGCAAAGATGGGTCAAAGGGATTAAGTGACGATGATGATGTGGGTCAAGGAGAACTGTACTCTCCTGCTTATTCCATCAACGAGAGAAACAACAAAGCAAACCTTGATGCTAATGTGGGTCAAGGAGAATTGTACTCTCCTTCCCATGCCATCGAAGTGAACAATAGCATAGCAAACCAAGAACCATCGTCGCTGCTGCCGTCGTCACTGGGATTGGGTGTGGCTGCAGACCATATAAGGTGGAACTTGGAGGCAATCAAGGACAGACTAGTTGGAGAAGCTGGCAGCTGCTGCTGTTCCTGCTGATGCTTTGGACAGTGCACGCCACTTCTTAGAGAGTGTCGTCAAAGATGTCACTGGGGCTGCGCATGGAATCACCAAGGATGCCTTGCACCGGATCAGAACTCATCTTGTTGACATTCTACCCTCCCTGTCTCCTGAAACCACTAACAAGGTCTCTCTATCTCTCATCTCTTTGATACTTAATTACTTACGAGTGTTTTGTCATACCAGCGATGGTGGGAGGGTGAATGAAATCGAAACTAGGACCTCTCTCGAGTTAGAATCATGCTTTGTGAATGTTATGGTTACTCTTCATAACAAGAGACTCACGACTTCAAACAAATGTTCTCTTGCAAAGAACAAATACACATATCGTCGACGGTAATAAATATGAACTGAACTACATATTCAGATAAAAATAATATAATCTTAACCCATAGTCTAGATTTACAGTCTAGTAATACATCATATATATTGCTAAAGAAAACATTTTTTTTCTTTCAAATGAGTAGTACTCTTATTTGAACCGTAACACCATCAAGCTATATAATTGAGATCTAATTTGTGCTAATTTGTTTAAACTGTTTGCATGATAATGTTGAGGAGAAAGATCAGAGAAATATGTGTGTGTGTGTGTGTGTGTGTGTGTGTGTATTGCAAGTATAATAAAGATAATCTCATTTACTTTAAATGATGACAGATGGTGGATGAGGCAGAAAGGGAAGCTAATAATATTGGTGGAGGTCGTGGGAGAGAAGATGAGAGGAAGAACGAGGAAGGACGCCATAGAAGTAGATGCCTCGCCCACTTCCTCTGTGTTTTCTACATCATGGCTTTGATGCCTCTTGTATCTAAATAATACAATGTCTGAGTAAACATGCATAAACTCTCATCCCCAAAAATAAAGAATTTTTCCTTTCTTCCTTGACAAGGAATGAAACTGAAAGCTATACAGTTTTCTGGTTTTCGAAAACTAAATTTAAGGCCCGTCGTCACCATCTTTAATTAAATTGCAAATATCTGAGCACTCCACCAAACTGCAAAATATCAAATTTTACAGAAAAGAACATTAGAATGGGGTATTATTTACAGATACAGATGTTAGATCGAATACATGAAACATATATATGGTTGTTGATGAGGATATGATAAAGCTTTAATGCCTTTTGTACAAATGTTTAAAGAACATAAAAATAAAATAAAAATGGTGACCGTTAATTCTCAGTTGCAGAATTTAAATTGAAGAGGAAAATGTACCAATATTGCCGGCTTCTAAATCCTTGCTTGAAAACAACTATAGGCCTGCGGCATGACAAGAACATCAAACACCAAACGTAACGGCATACGATCTAAGAAAGGCAGGGAAAAAAACACATATCTAGCTGATCAAGCAAGAAAGCAAAATACTCGAATTCTGAGTCATTCCTCTTTGCAGACAAACTGCAGTTGAATACGAGGAAGAAAAAAAATTGTTTTTGTGATTTTAGTGTTAAGCGCGCATAAATTGTTAGATTGCAATTTTCATGTGGAATGACTCTTTACAGTTACGGCCGAGCATGCCTACTAAGAAACATAATTTAAAAAAGAAAAATATTTGTACCTCCTGACATTGAAGGGGCCTTCACCAGGTGAGCCCTCACCACCTCTAATGCAGGTGGTGACGCACTTAATTGTGCAAGACTCTGCCTTTCTCGACTTTGGTCTTTGAATCCTCGGTTTCTTGCAATCCTTGGGCAAAGCACACTCTCCAGACAGTGTCTGGGGAATATTTTCTAGAGTCTCAGATTGCTCAGGAGACTCAACTGCACCGGCGGAAGCTAAAACTGCAGCAGCTGCAAGAAACCCTGCAGTTGCTAAGAGAAAGCTTCTGCTTCTGCTTCTGCTTCTTCTGCTGCTGCTGCTGGTGGCTTGGGAAGTGCTTCTGCTGCTGCTGCTGCTGCTGGTGGTGGCTTGGGAAGTGCTTCTGATGCTAATACCATTGGCATTGTTAATCTTGTTGGCGATGTTGATTTTTTCAAGTTGTGGTGGGATTTTATTGAGAAGGAATGGAGAAGTTGGGACATAATAAATTAGCATGTTCTTGTACAATTCTGGAAGCAGTATTTCTTTGAGGTAGCAGGTTCATTTCAAGCCAAAAGAGACCAACTGCATGCGATGAAAGGATTCTCAGATTTTTCTTATCCATTCAACTTGTGTGTGTGAATCTGTGATATGGGGTCCTTGGCCAAGAGTTGCTTTCCTCTGCTGGCTATACGTGTCAACTATTCTAACCTCAAGATATGTGTTTAGGTGGGTAATCTTGTGTGTGACCAGAATATAACTTTATACTCGTAATTCGTTCACGTGATCAGACAGATGAAGAGATTTATATTTTTGATTGTATAGCAGAATCTCTTGTTTACCATGTGAGAAAGTTGCAGAGACTCACTGCCGCATTGGGATGTTGTGCTTTTGGGATTATATTGCGGTTGAAATTTAAACTCTTCCACCTAAACCCTAACCTTGTTTTTCCAGTTTTCACGTATAAAGGCATTGTTTTTTTTAAGTTTTAACAAAAAGCTCACGGTACTGTTCACTTTAACGAAAAATCATATTTTTACACTAAAAAATCAATTATAGTATTATTCACTTTACTCTTTATTTTGTCCTTATCATTAAAACTCAAAGTTTTCAAACCTTTTTCATTAGTTTTCCTTTATTTTTTTACCTTCCATTGAAAGGAGGGTATCAAGAAATTCCTCCTGTGTTAATCAGAAACTGAGCTTTGTAATTAAGCATGTAATTGTAGTGCTTGTTATATACACGTTCGACCCGATTCATGACAACGAACAATTCAAACCCATCTGGGCATCTACACATGAATTTCAGCACGAAAATGTTGGCATGTATGCAGCTTTACAAATGTACTCTTATCTTAGGAACATTAGATCATCCTTGCTCCCCGCGATCAGGTATTCTTCTCTAGAGCGGACAACGCCGGTGTCAGATAGTTATTGGCTTTGTCAGGCAAATGCGCCACCTGCAGAGGGAGTTCGTAGAAACGAAGTGGTTACAAGCTTATATTTGTCATACATATTTGTTTTCAATATACAGAATCTAATGAATCGATTTTACTTGGTCCTTACCAGCTCGTAAAGTTCCTTTCCTTGATCGGCAACGTATTCATAACATACCTGGAAAAGTTTCAACATCTGCTTAGCATTATGTCAGTTGAGAGTAATATAGTAACAGCAAAAAGATTTTCACCCACATCAAAGCTTTTGTTCCTTGCAGTCGAATCATGCAACGCCTTCACGCAGATATCAGCTACATCGGCACAGCTGATCCCCTGATTCACAGATGCTAGTTTAGGTTAGATGTTCAATGATGTCATATAGAAACCAAAAGATAATCTCTGTTTTAATCTAGTGAAAAGTGATCGAGGTGATTTCAATTAGTACTTAGTAGATGTAGCAAAACTTTTAATACATCGATCATTCTAACCTGAGAAATTCTGTTTCCTTGATCGAATATGAGAGCGCGTTGTCCACCTGGTTCTTCCTGTATAAACCAAACCGATTCTCATCAGATAGGGGGAAGACCAAAATGTAGCGGGGGAGTCGAGAATTGTAGAGTAAGAACTCCACCTTCAGGGGACCAGGACGAATGATTGTGTATCCAAGCCCTGATTTTCGCAATGACTCTTCCCCAGCCTGGAGAAATTTCAACAGTAAAAGAATTAGCAAAGTTACAAACAAAAAGAAGGTAACCTGTTCACTGAGTGACAAAGAGAAAGATAAAGAGCTAACCCTCTTGGCTTTAAGAACCTGCTCCCTTCTATTAGGTTCTATTCCTGATCCGGTACAAGAAACTAAAACGAAGTCCGTTTCTTGCCCAGTCTGCAAAACGCGTCCCATTATCACATTCGGTTTAAGACTGTAAAATATTATGCAAACCTAGTCTCTGTATACAACTCATACAAATAATCATGCATGACCATTACTCTACATATGTCATCACTAACTAAACCGTCCATTCCATCTCATTAACCACACTTAATGGATAGTTACATAGCTTCTCATTGCGAAAATCCAGAAGAAAACATCAGTATTATTTTTAAGCAAACCATTGATGAAAAAGGATTTATAAAAACGGTTATTTAACTTCAAGGTCAGAGTGGTAGTTGTTAATTAAACGATTCACCGAAAAATTTCTTCAAACTCGGACCGTCAGAAAATGGGTTCATTCGTAGAATGATCAGTTTTGAAAGGGTTTGACTTTTGGTTTATAACTCATTGATGAAAACATTGGCTCTCATGGTAGAAATGTGAAAACGGGGAACCATTAGCAAGAATCGCAAGCATACTCAAGGGACTATGAGTTCTATGTAGATATTCACTCTGTTATGGTTAAAGCCTGAAAGCGTCGAGCAAATTTTTCAGCATTGAGATTTTCAAGTGGTGTTGTAGGAGCTCACAGAAGACTTGGCACAAAACTGAGCGTAGCGGCGTTCTAAGATTCATACAGCCGACCCTACTTAGTGGGATAAGGCTTTGTTCTTGTTTTTTGAGATTTTCGAGTGAAAATGCATAAACGTTTAGAAAATACATGCATGGGAGGGAGTCTATCTGGTCACCAAGAGTGAGAGAGAAATTCTTGGTAACAGAACGTGACCTAAAATAACCAGAAATATAGAACATAAACTGATATAACAATCAGCACAACTCAAATTAAAGACTTACTGGCAAAGCTTTTATGTATTCTAGTATAAGCGTAAAACTTCTTGGGTCTTGCTGCTGCACTCCTGTACGTCCTTCAACAGCTTTCTGTGCGAAGAAATATTAAGTAGATTCAGCAAAGATGCAAAGAAATGTATTCATCAAACAGACAGAAAAAATAATTTACGTTGTTTTTGGATTTGAGGAAAACATATGAAACAGATTCGTCGACTTATCTCACACACAGAAAGCAGAAACGTACAAACCTGTCTTCTGGGCTCAAAACGCAGGGTTAATGTATGTACAAGGAATGGGTCTAGTGGTGGATCATCTGGTTTCACAGGGCGGAATGATGAAAACGGTACTCTGACCTGCCAATTACAGAGTAATAGAATTAGTGACAGCATATATTGCAACCATTCCACAAAAGAAACAGAGATGAGAAGAGAGATCCTTACCCTACAAAATCCTGCTTTTGTGTTGAATCTAGAAAAGTATAATTTACTTTGAGATGTATCCGCCGAAGGACCAGCTTCAAGAATTAATATGTAAGATCTTCCATTCCCACCAACAGAAAGAACTAGACCTTCATACCTGTACATTGAAAATATAGATTACATAAGCAAATAAGCCTTCACAGTTTAGGCAATGGATGTTCCGATAAAGAATCTATCATAACCAGGTCTTAAGAAACTCTATTTGAGAATGCAACTATTGCTTACCTGTCAAGGGTTCGACCCAAAGGAAGCGAAAGCTTTTTAGAAAGTTCAACATACCCTCCTCTGGTGAAAACATATCCTACATACAGCAAGAAATAGAGTGAAAAAGGACTAATTAATGCTTCCCATTTAGAATCTCAAAACCCCACTATAGTAGTTTCTTTACCGGAGAAAACAGCATCTCCGGTGAAAGTGAATTCGAACTTGGCGTCCATTCCTCCATCATACTTAGACGCAACCACATCCTGAAAGTAAGTCCCCTGACGAACTTCCCATCCATCCACTGACTCTGGAGTCTTGAACTTTACAAGGGTAAGTTTGCTCTTGCTACTCTTTCCTGCTCGTAACTGTGCCATTTTGTTGTTATAGTCCTGCAACGCAAACAGTCAAAAGATTCACACAAGCAACTCTCGGAGGGCTAAATTCAAATCCAACATTGAACCAACACAAGAACTTAAAGGCATCAAAACCGAAACAGATTACTAAATGTCAAAAAGGAGCATTTCAAAGATATGGACAATAAGGATCACACCTGGAATGCTTTGGTGAGGTTGTAGACCCCTCTTTGATCAACTCTGTAGAGGTCTCCACTGATAGTAGAGCGTGCAGTAGCACAATAGATAATCTTGTTACAGTCCTGTACCGCTGCGTATAGGGTAGCAGGATCACCCACATCCCCGGTCACAATCTCAACCGATCTTGGCAACATCTCCACCACTTCCTGATCAGCATTCCTCACCAGCGCCTAATTCACCATCACACAACACATTAAATACAACAAAACCTAAATCGCTCGTAGCTAAGTTTGTTAAGAGTATTAAACCCATTAACAGAAGTTCCGAGTTTGATTCCCCCTTCCCCAATATCGCTTGTATCAAAACAACAACACAAAACAAAACCAAACCCGAAAACCAAATGAAAAAACACACAAAAAGGTCGAGAATGTAAAAAATTGGACAGAAAGAAGCACCTTAACAGTGTACCCTCGGAGCATGAGCTTGCGGACCACTATCCGGCCGATACTCGAGGTGGCGCCAACGACCAAGACGGTGGTGTTCTGGGCGCCGGGGATGACGAACTCGCACATGGGTCCTTCCCTGATGAGCAGAGCGTCAAGCGCGTCTCTTTCGTCGGGAAGACTGGTTCTTGAGATCTGCCCGAGGCCAGAAAACTTGCGCCACACTTCATCGAACAGCTGGCGCGACCTCCTACCGAGCCCGACCGGGTTCACGTCCTCCAAATCCAATCCCAGCTGCTTCTGATTCTGCTTCTGCTCCTGCTGTTCTTGGATTTGATTAATTGGGGAATCACTTTTCTCCTCAGTAGAAGCAGGATCAACTGTTTTGTTCTTGGTTTTGGTTTTGGTTTTTCTTCCGCCGCCATTGTTGGTGGGCTCGGAGGAAGGTCCGGCGGCCCTGGGAATTAACAACGAGCGGTTTCCGGCGGCGATTGTGAAGTTTTGGGAGTTGGGTTTTGGGATTGGGAGAGAAATGGGCCTCCGCCATTGGTAATAGTGAGTGATGTTATTTTTACCGCCACTGCCGCCGCCGCCATTGATCAAGCTGGTGCTGCTGATGGCTTTAGTGACGGCCATGGTGGTTTTAGCGCCAACGAACAGAGCCTTTCGCGAATATTCAGATTCTGGTTTTTGCTGTTAATTTCATTCTATTTTGTTGTTGGATAATTGCTTTTATTTTTCTAATTTGGTGAGAAAATCATGGAATAAAATTAAATAGTTGGAAAATGGGAAAATGAATGGTGGGAGTTTTGAGTTGGACATA